TAGCCAGGCATGTTCCAGAACGGCATGAAAGCTGCGGCTCATTGACTGCAAGCGTGTTGTGGTGCTCGTGTTTTGATACAATTAGTGCCAACGTCATAAACGATTTTATGGCATACCGGTGGGCTCGCATGTTGTTTTTTGTGCTTCATTTAACCCCAACCCACCACATGTTACGCGGCAAAAATAGCGCTAAATTGTATCAAAGACGCAATTATGAAGCATCGGATCAAAAGATTCGTGGACATTTCGTGTGTTTTAATAAAAAAATTGACTGAACGAGCTTCTTATGTCCGTGATCGGCCTTGTTTTGCAAGATGACTTCTAAAGGAATACGGAAGCTTAATAGTCAGTGGTCAAAACGAACGACATGTCCAGTTATTAACGAAAAATTGCTTTCCCTTGATCCGCATTTTCGACAAAGGCGACTAAGGCCATCGTGAAGTCTTCAAGCCATTCTGTAAAGTAGACGTTTCATTTTGGAAAAAAGGCCGGTCTACGCTGAAGATTTAGGGACTAATTAGCGATTTCTCTCAAAGCTAATGCTGTCTTGTGGAAGTTTCAATAAAAAACTGCTTGGTTAATTGAAGTTTCACGCATTGATCGCATCTATGCTCTACATGACGTCTCACTTGATAATGCATTTACCTGCATCCTTTAACCGTGTTCCCAGTGAACTCCAATGATTGTGGAATTCATCTGCAACTTTTGTACATCTTGTTCCTTAATCCCTTAGATTTATTCAGTAGTTTCACAATTTTACCAAAAATGTCACTACCGACCAAACTAGCGGAAAACATTTCGCAGCGCGATTCAACATTTTAAAGAGCGGCTTAATAGTAAACACATTCAGTCGCATTGATCATAAACAGGGTGCAAGTGTTGTAGGCGCTACCCTTTAGTCTGAACAGAGCAACAGTGATTGGGCTGCATACTGTAGGTGCTGGGTTAACTGACCTTTTAACCCAAATTGGCGGTTCTGCAAATCTGGCCTTACCAGTATGTAATCCCCTAAGACCAACTCTCTATAGTCCACTGTCGCTCGTTATAACGATGTGCTATCTGTGGTAAATTGGGCTGAAAGGAATGGCGTTCCATATATCTGAGAACAGGCTGAGAACAGTTTCACACTAATCCTTTAATGTAATGTCAATATCATAAACAATTTTTCTTTGGGTCTCAAAAACTTGCTACAACGGAGACACTACTGATTTTGTCTTGCTTCTGTTGCATCAACACCGCAGACAGTATGACAACAAAGCCATCCTGTGTAGCAATTGGTTTGTGCTTGTAGGTGTCTATAATAACATTATCAGAATTCGTTGACATTAAACGTTTTTTAAATGATCATGTTTAAATTAAAAATTCAAAAATCGAGCAGTTTCATGCGGAAGATGTGAAATGAATGACGAGAAGGTGTTTCAACATGTCAAGCCATGGACGATGACACCACAGCATGCATTGACACAAGTCTTGTGATAAAATGCAATTGGCCAGATAAACGAGGACAGATTGTATCATTATTCGTTTGGTTAATTGTCAGATATAAATGACATATCCTCTTTAGTGACAATTTTGCCAAGATTTCGATTACTATCTAGGGTGTTCTCTTGCATCGAAAATCGTCTAGCTGTCTCAAACCAAGAGCCTTGTCTGGTGAGAAGTCGCGTGTTTGAATGTTTGAAAAGAGAATAAGCTTTGAATTTCTGGGTAGAATGTCCCTATGTTTTAAGCTCTATCGGTAATCACTATCACAAACCATTTGCGACCAAACCATTCCTGAAACGGGGTAACATATGGTTATTATCTGACTCCTGTCACAAGTAAGATTGCAAGAAATCAATATCTGTCCAGTAACCTTTTCTGGGTCTCTTTCCGATGGCCAAAGAAATTACACACCGCTTTGATTAACTACAAATAAAACACAGCTTATCTCTTATTTAAGAAAACCTCAGAGCTTAAAAATTTACCTCTCATAAGAATATTATTTGTATCGTTAAGATGAGTATGTTTATCTAAAAGTGAAAATTTTAAAAAATCATATGCTAATCAGTAGCTTCTTTTTACGTTTATCAGACTCTGCAGATGTGTGTAACTTCGGCTTTGCAATATCGTGGTTTTCAAAACATCGAAATTATGAAATGCACAATTAATTTTGCAGTAGAAATAAATTAATTCTTTGTTGAAAATGCACCATTTCAACTTAGGGCGATTTGTTGGGTGTGACACAGTCGTTAAAACACGATTGACACTCTAGGTACTCCCAATAACATCGTCCAATTTACTGACGTCAAAAAAGCCCCACAATCAGTTGTGGGTTTTAACCAAAGCTTGATAATTATTCGTTAAATTTAGCAAAGTTTACGGCCATTTTAACCATTGAAGTGACTGCTGAAGATGACTAGGATAGCGTAGATATTTTACCTAGACATAGTTAATTTAGTTGTCTATGAACAAAAGGAACAATAATTCTTTTGTGTGTTTTAAAAAAAACCTGTTGGTCTACAAAGGATTTCCTATGGGGTTTTCGGTATTGTTGCATAATTTATGAACGAGACAACTTCTAAAATGTTTTTTTTCAACCTTGACAAGGCAGCAGCTGCCACCTAATGCTACATTTAGCGATGAACGGACGTGTTCTACGTGAAACAGGAATGAAAGTTGCAGCAGAGAAGGCTACCCACAAAAACACCCCCTTCTCCTCGCTTCTAGGGCACTAAAATCCCATGTGTTTACGTCTGTTAAATAGCTGTTTTCAGTTTTTTTTGAATTTCGCTTTGAATTTTTGTTTAAATTACACGGCTTTCAAGCCAGTTAGTGGACACAGACAATTTTTTAACGGAAACCAGATAAAAACTTTTGGGGCTGCATTAATCAGAGTTAAAACCTAGACGAACCATTTTGGTGAATATCTCAAAATGAAAAAGGTATTTTGCCTATTCGTGTGTGGCGTCTCCAGTAAAGTGATTTTGATGCCAAGCAACTGACTTGCATTAATTTTTGCCAAAAAACGAATGAATTTTGATATCGGTTTATTCCTCATAAAATGCCAAATAAGAGGTGCTTTCAACTTCTCAAGTACAAGTCGCTCTGTGAAATTTAGTAAATTTATCTTGACCTTCATTGAACCAGGCAAATCACTCGCACTTAGGTCTCGCCCAATTTTTCATTTATTGGTTAAGTTAAAGCCCATGTATTGTGATTCTGCATTCAATTTCAAATTGCTGTCAAATCCTACTAAATTGACTAGCATAAAACGTTTAAATAAATACACATTTTCTTATTTACCTCAAGGTAACCCCTTTCAACTGACCTTTTAAATTACCTACTTTGTCCCATCGCTAAAAGATGACAGCTAGCTTCACTTGTCTACAGACGACTTGTTGAATGGCACCTGAGTAACCCAGTTTTATGATTTCCGTTGTTAGAATCTGAATCTGCTTTTGATCGTGCCAATTCGCGTCCAATAACTCTACATCCACGCGCCTACATGTCTTACGGAAACAAAAATCAGTGTTTTTTAGTTCGCACAGATTTTTGGACCCTCCTGAGCACTCACCAGTCTGGCATTGCATCCACTGGTCTTTGATTTTACGCTTTTCTGCTCAAATCTACACTTAATCCCTTCGATGATGTTAATAAGGTGTCAACCAATCCGCTTCTTATTCCTAAACGATCTTTTATCCTTTATTTTCTACGCTATTCTACGGTTTGCAAATATTTAGGTATATAAGTAACCGACATACTCAAACGGTGATCTTGCGAAACATGACTGCTATTACTAACTTTATCAATCTTCTCAAGTTAGATGCGTTATCACTGGCCTGTCGTATTTCGTTAATTATAACGTGTCGTACCTTTCATTTCGTTTAAAAAGGCCTAAAATACTGCAACACAATGAAGGCTAGCTTGAAACCGAACAAAGTTTCCTCGGATTTACGGAAGTTCTGCGAGGTGTCCACCGAAGTTGAAGAAAACTTAGCTAAGAAACAAGATAGGTGAGCGAACGTTTGAGCAAAATAGCGGTTTTAGCATTCTCTAGTGCGGCCACAAGGTGAGGTTAGGTTCAGGCATAAAATAACCCGAAGGTAGTCGGCAGCGTTAAAATTACGAAAAATGCTAGACATGTGTGGTCACCTTACTATAAACAGATCTGAAAACCTACAGACAGCAGATAAAAATTCACACATACAAGAAAATACAGGTGCAAGCACTGCAGTTGGCAGCAATGCCAGAGGTCTAAATGATTTTTTGGGTCGAGGTGAAAGAAATTCTGACAGAACCCAAAATTATGTAATTCCTTAATGATTGGCTGGAAAGATACTGTGAAAGATGACTTCATTCTGCGTAATTGATGGCCACATGCAACTAGACTTAAAAATAATCACCTTCGATAATTAATAACTTTTGGCAACGTACGAATCACATTTATTAGGCATTTAATTGTCCTGTCAAGTCACGAATTAGTAGTCCCAAGAAGGCATAAAATATGCCCATGTCTGATTGGTTGAAATCCGCGTGCTCTGATTCGTCCAGAGTTGGGATAGTTTGCACGATCAGAATCCGCCATCAGTTTTAATTTGGCGTTGTTTTCTTGATGTCTTGATAATAGGAAGTGCTTAATTGCCATGGTATTGGTCGGGAAAGGTAATGCCTCCTGCCTACCAAATTCGCTTAACGAGTTCGGCCTATCACTTCCAGGGAGTCTGGAAGAGTACTTTAGAAGGTGTCTGAACCTCACCGAGGACACCGACCTCTTCCGACTGCTCATCACAGAATTAAAGGGTCTCCACGAGGGCAACCGACTGCGCCAGTCGGAGCTCATTGCACTCATCGCGGTGAACACGTTCCTGATGTTGTTTGGAGCTACGGGTGCGCTTGTCCTAATCGTCGCTGTGGTCCGCAAACCAAGAATCCGCACTCCACGAACCATGCTCACGGTGAACCTAGCCGTCTCCGATCTCACACTCTGCCTCTTCACTCAGCCCTTCAACCTTATTCGCACCCTTCACTGGCACTATGAATGGCGATTCGGTGAAGTAATGTGCAAGATCACGTCGTTCGCGCAGGCTACAAACGTATTTGTAGCCACAATGAGCATTACGGTGATCGCCCTCGACAGATTTCATGTAAGCTTTCTTGATTATTCCCCAAATCTTTAACAATTTTGCACTTCTCATTTGCGTCTGCATGTAATACTTCAACCATGCTGCCTTCATGGTATCTATGATCGCTGAATCAGTTTGAGATTGGCTGTCCCCTTGGTTATTAGCATCCAGTAGAAGGCTATTGGACCATTAGTCATGATGCGTCATTGTGTGCGCCCGTATATTCATAGACTGTGACCAATGAATGGCAAGGAAGGCCCAGAATCATACACTAGTCCCTGGTATAGCAAAAGCTTAACTGGGCAGGAATTTGCACTCTGGCCATCTCAGAAAAATAAATTTTGCGAATGCTTAAATTAGACTAGATTTTCCCCAATTTACTAAAGTTCGATTTTATAAAACCAGAAGTGGATTTCCACGTGGGACATTCTGGGACAGTTCAGACTACAAAGCCTTTGATGCGGCTTCATAAAGTGGACAAAAATCGGAAGTTAAATGTGGATTTTGCTAAATGTGATTGGCCATTAAGCTATACGTTAGTGGTTAATGACGCTTTCAAAGGCGTCATAGCGTACGCTGTTTTTTCAACTGATGAAGTTCACGCTGAATTGCATTAAACTACCTTTAAGCCTGGTAAACGTTCTCCAAAGTTACGTCGAAGGTAAATTCAAATACAAAATTGGTCTTCTGTTTCTGCTAAAAAGCGTTTATTTTAAATGCCAATGAAAATTGTAATTCACTCTAAAGCGATGTGAGATTAAAAGCTGGTAGCCTAAATGGGAGTTGGCGCAGCAATTATTTTCCAGATAGCGTTCCGTTTAATGAAATGTCACCTTCAAAAAATTCACTAAAAGGACAAATTCCATCATAGCACACGGCTTTTCAGAACTCTTAGTACTGCTTTCAGCAGATAAAAGTCTGCGTATTTCTGGTGATTCAGGAAGCACATTGTGCTTTCGTGGGGTCTTAATTCTGGTAATTAGAAAACAGCACAATCTGATAAAGTCTATGAAGATTTGTTGTGGTACAAATATAATTAAATAAATTTCAACAGTCTATAATTATAAGTTCAAATTTCTACCATCTTTCCATTGTTTTGACGGTATTTAAATTTTTTAAATGGTTTCCGAACTAAAAAATAATTTAATTAATAACTTGAGGTGTCCGCATAGAAGAAATTTTCTTTTATTCTCAAAAACAGCATTTTAATGTCGGAATTCTATGTTAAAGCCTGGTGATAAGCTGATTTATTCAAAGTGGATCACCATGAGATTGGCTTCTTTTAATGAAATACGAATCAGTTTTCTTAATAATTAAGATGAAATGAAAAATGAAAACTACCGGAATTAAGATCATGCCTATGAATTTTTCAAAATTTAGAGATCGTGAACATTCTAATTAGTAGTAATTGCAAAATGCAACTTATAGACGGTTTGGATCAAATTTTGAAGTAAAAAAATTAGATGCATCTTTGATTTTTCATGCAACCAAACTTAGCTGATTCGAGAAGTTTTTGCGCAAAACCGAGGTTAGAGACTACATGGATGATTAGTGGAGAGCATGAAATTTGAGTAGACCACACCACAGTCGAACACACGCAACTTCCTTGGAGGTCCTACTTCAGTCGCCGTGTACTTTTAACGCCAAGCGTCATTTGCAATGTGTGCATGTGAGTGCGTCGTACATCTAGCAAGAATTGTCGGCAAAAAGCCGTATTACAAGTAGAAACTTGAACTTAAATTGACCTTTGTAAGTTAGAACAATCTCCTATCGTCCCCCTGAACTAGCATCCATGTTGAGACTTCATCCACTAACACTTCAGCTAGTCGATGAGTAGCAGAGAACGTCACTGCCCTTAAGTGTCATGCCACGATTATGTGAACTGAATCAGGTTTAATTACGTTGTTCGCATGATGGTATGGTCAAATTTAAGCTTCTACAAGGTCACTTTTACCACAGATTAGTGTTTTTTAAACACGAAAGTTTAAAGAAGGACAATCTGCTTCTGTAGAGTGAGACAATGGGTGACCTTGACGGTCAACACAGGATAGTTTTTTGTTCAAATGAGAATAAGCCAATGAAATGGCTTACAGTCAATGTAAATGCGTGCAATTGGATGTGTGGTTAATTCAAAATCACCATTTTGCACACAAGCATTTCAATTCAGATTTGAACATTGCAAAAGTAACATCAATGCTCCCCAGTGCCGGAATACAATAAATCAAAACGATTCATGAGCTCCGCATAAGTGAGAGCTAGGGAGATTGCAAGCATGCTTGGCATGATTCCAGCTGATTACATCACCCAATTTCATTAAGTCATTTTCTTAATTTGTTTACTCTAGATTAGATTGAAAAGAAATAATGAAAATTCAAGTCAAGACAGTCTAATGGAGAGTGACAGCAAAGCTCGCTGCGCGTAATCAAATTCTCCAGACCATATCGTGTACCTAGGATTATAATTATGCCTATTAAATAATAAATACTGCTTTGATTCAATTATGACACAGGAATGCACGATTTTAAAGGGCTACTGGGCTAGTATGTATTATTATGACGTTGCTGCGTATCCGACAGGTTTCCCTGTTTCTGGCGACTGCTGGTTGACTTGCATCAAGAACATAGACTTCCATTTTACGATAATTAAAAGCGAATACTACTACGGAGACTGTATTTTAACTAATTACAGAGTAAACTACGTCATTAGTTCAGATATTTTGCATTACACGAGCGTTTGACGTCTTGCAGATGGATTTTGTTCAGATACCACCTGTCGAATAGCAGAAAATGACGGTGTTAAAGGCAGTTGTTCGCATTTCATTGCGATATAAAATGTTTTATTCGTTGCTGATAAGAAGGATTAATATCAATCTTCTATCCAATCAGAACAAAGTAAGTGACATGATGAAATGTTTCAATCGCAGAGGACTGACCTCGACGCTAAGACAAGCAACAGGCTCTGATTGGTTAGAATATCAGGAATTGACAATCATGTTTGTAATAGTTCCTTGGGACGATCACGTACTTTCGACTTAAGCGAATGCTAAAGTTACGCTCTTCTATTGAGGAAACCTAGCTAGGACCCCCGTCAACAACCTTCTGCGATTTTGGCTGAAACGAAGATTGATTCACCACCATTATTATATTACACAGCTCACACATGAGCACACATGCTTGAACTAGTGCAGTCTTTGGTCCTGGTCGAAGC